AACTAAATTAAACTATTAAATTTTTTCTAAAATTAGAATGAAATTTTTTAGATCTTAGATAATTAAAGGGATTAATTACATGATTTAATGATTATTTGTATTAATGCCAGGATATACAATTGGAGGATTAGATAATTTTTTAGAAAAAATGTTAGAAGAAAAAAAATATTATTTCTTAATTAAAAAATATGAATGCATCTTCTGAAAAATATAATATACTTAATTAAAAATATAAACAATATGTTACAAATTATTCCAATTTACTCGATCAAAGAATGAATTTATATGCTGAAATTCAAAATAAAATAAATATAAGATAAAATAGTTTAAAAATTAAGATATATATTACAATATAGAAAGAATTATTTCATTAAAGACAATATAAATTTTTCTATGAAAAAAAAAAATAGTAAGAAGGCAAATAGAAAAATCCCCAAAAAAATCTATCAAATAGCCAAAAAAAAAAACATGGCCTTATTTTTCAACTTCATTTTCTCTTCCCATTTAAACGACTTCAACACTCTTCTCACTGCAGCTCCGTCAACTGACCACGCCAAAATCCAATCCCCCAACCTTAACTCAGCCGCAAAAAATGCCCTCCGGCGCTGTCCTCCTCCCAATCTTCCTCCGCCTTTTCATCATCGTCACCACCGTTTCAGACGCAGCTCCAATCTTAGGCCTCGATTCCTTCCTCACCCAACAATCCCGCAAAGACCCTCAAGCCACCAATGACTCCTTCCTTTCCCTCCCTTCCTCCTTGAAGAAACCCCTCTCCCACCCCTCGCCCCACCATCCTGCCACCCCATCCTCCCTCCTCTCTCTCCAGCTCTCTGTGCCCATCACTGTCCACTTGGTGGGCTCCACCTTCTCCTCTTCTTCCCCCTCCCTTCTCTCTTCCTTTATCAAGTCCGCCGTCACCTCCGATCTGTTCCACGTCATAACTCCCTTCACTTCCACTTCTCCCGCCACACATCACCTCTCGTTGTTACATTCCCTTCATCTTGACGTATCCCTTTCACCCACCTCCCTCTCCAATTCTCTTTCCACAGCTCTTAAATCCCACCTCTCTAATTCTCCTTCCCCACTCCGATCCTCACTTTTGTCCGTTCCTTATTCGCTCGTAGATCAGATTATTAAACAGGATTTTGAAAAGGAGAAACCCATTAACTCGATCCACGTCTATATTATTCATCTGGGTTCCCAGTCTAAACCCTATGCTTACAGCTACACCCCTGGAGATCCCTCCCCTGCTTTCATCAAATGCTTGGGCTCCGTTTGGACTGGAAAAGATCGGTACTTGTGGATTGATTTGGGAGCCGGTCCTGTGGATTACGGGCCGGCTTTGTCAGGCGATGGAGTTTTGCCAAAAGGCGAGTTTCACCCGTTGGCTGCTCTCCATGGCAGACCNGTGGATTACGGGCCGGCTTTGTCAGGCGATGGAGTTTTGCCAAAAGGCGAGTTTCACCCGTTGGCTGCTCTCCATGGCAGACCCAAGTCCCAAAAGGCATTGCTTTCTGATTTGGCATCCTTGGTTTGGAGTGCTTATCAGGTACTACTGGTGCCCTCTTTGAGAATTCCCGTGCCTTTCGAGAATTCCTTGATTGTTGAATTTGTACACATACATGCTTCTGAGGCTGAAGGAGATAATTCTGGTTTGGATTGGAAGTCGATAGAGAGGACTTTTATGGATGAGGTTAATGACAATGGAATGTTATTGGGAGATCAGTCTTTGAGTTTTAGGAAATATGATGTGAAGTTATCTGAGTGCTCGATTTGCTCATTTGCCATTTCTAGAGCAACCACTTCGTACACTTCTAGGTACTTGTTTGATAACTATACTTTGATTGTGAGTGAGTATTTGGACTCAAAGCGTTTGCATCAGACAATATCAGAATCAATGGAGGAGTTTAGAAGGATAGCCAAGCTGCCAGAGGAGGACTTTGGGAGGGTTCTTCCTGTGTATGTTTTTGATCTCGATGTTAGTACAATATTGTTGCTTGATCGGTATCATCAGTCTGTTGCATTTAAGGATATGGTTATTGCAGTCAGGACAAAAAGTACACAAACAGTGAGTGATTACAGCTGTAATGGGCATCACGTTTTCACACAGATTCGGGAGCTCGAGAGGCCTCTTGTAGGATCTATTTTGCAGAGCATGTGGGGTGTCTCACCCACACATCTGGTGTGGAGTCCTAGACATAACAGTACTCTTGTGGACTACACTTGGAGTGTTGGACAGACACCGTTTGGGCCGTTCTCAGAGATTTCTTCGTTGTCTTTTGTTCAGAAGGATGCTGCCCGGAGGAATGTTCTATTAACATCTTTGAATTACAGTATTACTAGTGCTATTGATGTTCTTGAATCAATTGCGGCTCATGGTGGAGATAGAAAGCTTCTTAAGCGGAATCAGCAGACTGAGTTTAGACAGAGGTGGAATTTGTTCAGGTATAAACTGGACAAGGTGATCTCTGCACTGTCACACTTTGATTTTGAGATGGCTTTGTACTATTTGAGGTCATCAGATCATGATCTATATGCCATCCACTCTCTTGTTTATCTTGCATCTCAAGAGTTGGAGGCTTCACTTGTTTGTTTCAAGGACCCGCCATTCCCATGGACTTCTGCTTCAATGTCTGCTGGAGTTTGCTTTGCTTTGATTTATGTTTATTCAAAAAGAGACAAACTGTTCCAAAACAAGAGGAAACAGTTTTGAAGTTTTTGAATGTGTTAGGCTTTGTATGTTTGAAACAATATAACGCCTGTATTACTAGTTGAGAGGTAAAATACAAAAATCTGAGAATTTATTTTCAGTTTATCAAGAAAAAGAAATGCTGTTTAACTTCATCATGTTTTGTTCTCAAATTTATATCTATTTTAGCAATGTGCTACGAATCTATGTTGTGCGATATATTGGCCTGACACTTCATGGATCCTCAATTGTATTTCTTTGCTTTGAAATAGCTAACTACGGAACCATGCATCAAGTTCCATATTAATTGGTGATGACACAGTAGTTTTAGCAGCTCAGTTAAAATCTTGCTTGTCTAAGATTACCTACACAATACTGCTTATAACAGTTGATTATGAGATCATTTATACTAGTGGTTCTCTGTCAATATCTGCTGCATTTTTTGGTTTTCTACCATCATTTAATATTAGCCTGGCTTGCCACTGCCAGGGTAAAAAAACTTCTCAACCTGCGTCGATGTGTGAAGTATATTTGCGCGTTCAGTTATTTGGGTGGAGATTTGAATTGGCTTTGAATGGATTCCAGATTTAACAGATAGTACTTGTGTACCTTATTTTTTTATAATATCTTTTTTATTTCAAGTGCTTGTTGCAAAATATAGTTTTGCATTGAACTTTCAGTAAGCTTAATTGCACTTGCACTCCGAAATTTGATTCAGCTGAAAGTAGATGCTACCTCCATTATCAATCATCTGGCGATGGGCTGGATTTTGAATTTTCCAGTTGTTTCTCTTTAGTACCCACTGAGCGTATTTGATGGAACTTGAAAGGAGTCTGTTGGGGATAGACCTACCTGGATAACAGTCCTGTCAATTTATTTCCTTGATATGGTGGATATCTTAGTTACTGCATTGGTCAGAGGTGTATTGATTGCAAAATCCTGCTAGGATTGCTATCATTGATGGTTGTATAGGTTGAATTACTCAGAATTTCAGAAGATTGAAATCAAATGAAGGTAAAAGATTGTCTCCAATTTATGCTTGCTTACACCTAGGAATCTTGTACTCTTTGTTGGAGCAGTTGGATCAACTTCTTGTTTTATCTGTTGATCTTCACTGCTAAGTGCAGCAGCAGCAGCATCTGTAGCACGTTTTGTATGCTTAATACACCTTGGTTCAGGTGATGGATCACTGTCTATACTGCGCTCTGTGCACATTACGCCTTCCAGTGTTCTCATCACTCTAGTCATTGTCAATGCCATATTTGATTGCTTTTCTTTCTCCAATTTCTTCCTAGGGAATTTCCTGCTTCTTATTCGTCTAGCCTTTAAGAATGTGACGACTTTCATGTGTGATTCTAACCTTTTCTTCTTCTAGTTTTATTTTGTCTTGTCTTTAATTGTAAACAAGTAGATTTTGGACACAGACAAGAATGATGATGAAAACAATGAAGACAATACTTGGCACATGCACTATAGGAAGAAAGTTGATTGCTTCCAAATCATTTTCTTTCTTCTTCTTCTTCTTCTTCTTCTTTATTATTATTATTATTATTATTATTATTTTGTCTGCGTGTGCCATGTGAAAGAAAAAACTAGCACAGAAAAAAAAAAAAAAAAAGCAGTCAGAGGAAATTGACGGGAATGAAAAGACAGGCATAAGAAAGTCACATTTGAGCATTTTCTTGCATTCTTCACCCATTTATGCTGTTTTCTCTGTTATCAATTGAAGTGGGAACTGACATTCTTTGTTTACTCCACGCAGCTCCTTATGGCGATGACTTTGATGGAATCAGCTCTATGACATTTTCGAAACATTCTGGTCAATCTTGAAATGCTGCACAGTTTATACCTGAGGTATATAATTTATACACAGATTTTCATTCTGTGCTAAATTAAGCGTGTCAGAATCTGGGGAACAGATACCTTCTTTCTCCCAAATGCATTGGTTGCAACCCACAATTTATTGGATTACTATGTCTAACCTTGTATATAATGAATCCCATGTACATTGGTTGCAAGATTAGACAATGTCTATGTGTTAAGAATCAGTATGTTAAGATTACAAACTTACATGCCACAAAAAAGCCAAATTAGAGATGCGCATAGGCTATTCTTATGCCACTCAAAAATAATTGACATTGTTAAATTACAGATCTATATGCCATTCTTATGACACTCAAAAATCATTGACAGTGTTACATAACAAATCTATATGCCATTCGAGAAAAACAAAAGAGGCATGGACAATAACTTCTAACTACTCCGTGCTCGATATCACCGTGTCCTAATTCATGTTATAATCTAATTGATTTTGCAACTGTTTTGATTCTGGCTGTTAGAATTCAAGGCTGTGGATTTAGATTACCCAATTACAATGATTGTACGTGTTAAATTGACCTTTGATGACTTTAGTTATAATTTTAACCTCATAAATATATTGGATTTCTAGAAATGATATCCATTTCTTCAAGAGGAACAGATAGCTTCAATTGTCCTTATAATTGTTGAAACGAACATTTTTTTTTTTAAATAATTCAAATGACAGATGATATTTATTTTTTATTTTTTTGGCAACTATTGGGCAGAGTAATGTTAGCTTCGTCAACTTTCTCTTGCTTCATAGAGCACCAACAATTTTGTTTTCTTCTTTCTCCCACTTTGCTTTTCTCCGTCTCTTTCTGAAGAAGCAAGATATGTGAAAGGATGATTGAATCGTAGACTTACTGGTAACAATTCATGCACAACCACAATCAAACGGAAGGAAAAACCTGCATTAAGAAAATGCTATCATGACTTAACTTAAAACTTCCATCCAACTTGATGGCACATACATATGCTACTAAACATTCGTTCATCACTAGGTCCTAGAAATTTAAAACAGCAACATTGAGCCTACTTTATCAATCTCTGTACAAAATCGCAAAAAGAAAGTTCTATAATATTCATTTGTTTGTACATGGTTGCTTTTCCAACATTATTTGTTATTTAACATATAGGGACCATGTTTATAATATCGTTCCCAATCATGTCTGCACTACTGTAATTGAATTGAACTTGTCCTTGCAATTCAATTCCATGGCCGTTAGAAGAAAATACTAGTGGAATATCTGCAATTCCATCATAAAATATTCCTCGATATTCATCACCGCTGCCCACCTCTAGCATGCTCTTGGTGTTTTTGTCATCATTTTCTTCTGTTACATTTGAATTTTTCTCAACCAGTTCTCTAAATATTGAAGACTGAAGGAGTAGGCCAAGTGCTGTCGGAGAAGACGATTTTCTGCAAGGACTAACTGGGATTTTTCTTGCCGACTTTTCCATCTTGCTCGGGTCATCTACATTGAAGGCTCTAGTTGTCGAGCAAGGGGACAAGGATTTTTCACATGAACAAAGAGGGGGTAATAATGCTTGCGACTCTTGGCTAAAATTTGGTTCCTGAGCTGAAACTGAATTATTTGCTCCTGGCCTCAACCATCTGATGTAGGTACTCAAGTCAAAATTAGTAACAGCATTTATCCCCCTGTACTCAATTGCAGCTATATCATATGCACGAGCAGCCTCTTCTTGTGTACCTGTAGTCAAAAATACAACTTAAAAATACATAGACATGGAATTATAAATATTTTCTCTCTGTTTTACTACGAATATCTCTGGGGTATTATTTTTGAGGTGACTAACTGTAAGTGCCAAGGTAGAGGTACTTATTTCCAAAAACTCTTCCTATCCTAGCTTCCCACCTTCCATTGTGATGGTGTCTGCATTTATTGTCATTGATGCGTTTAGAACAATCCCCAAAAGTATTCAAAAAAGAAATTGATATATAATAATGATCTCATAATATACCTGGCAACTCCTCTGTACTTCGATACTCCTCTTGAAAAGCCACTACTTTTTCTGCAGTAAATAAGTTTATATAGTTAGATACTCCTCTTGAAAAGCGACTACTTTTTCTGCAGTAAATAAGTTTAGATAGTTTAGATACATTCGTTGGTCAAAAACCTTAATTTTTCTCACATAAGATAGTGAAATGATACCTTCTTAGTGAGGCTAGGTACTCTTCTTTTGTGACATTCTGCATAATTTCAATTTCCTTCTCATAATCAGATATCTGCAGAAAATATCAGGGAATTCATTTGTCTGAAGCTTGTATTTGGCATGAATAAAGTTGGTAGAAGCATATCACAGTTTATAATCATACTGGAAAATTGGTAAAAGTTGATGTCCCCCAATACTTGAGTGCAGCCAAATCATATGCTCTAGCTGCAGCTTCCTCATCATCATATGCCCCTGAGAAAGTTTAATAAATCAAGGTCCGAGTCTTAATTTGTCTTACTTTCATTCTTCATGCATACATATACAAGATTAAAAACTTCGTTAGCTAAATAATACTCACCAAGATAGACTGTTTATTTTGAATTTTGCAGCCCAGAGTACATTCAGTGGAAGAAAACAGAAGATTTCATGTCAGGCACCACCATTGGGTAGAAATCTAGCTGAAAATAGTGGCGAATGAGTTAAGTTACCTTGCTTTCCCTTTTTCTTCTGAGTTGCATTCCATGAGAGTTTATCCCACAAGTGTGCTTCATATCGACCCGTCAATTTATGCCTGCTTACACCTCGGAATCTTGAACTTCTTTTCACTGTTGTTGGAGCAGTTGGGCCGACTTCTTGTTTGATCTGTTGACCTTCACATCTAAGTGCAACAGCAGCTGTGTCACGTCTTCTACTCTTAATACATCTCGGTGAAGGTGATAGATCACTGTCCATAATGCGTACATTACGCCTTCTAGTGTTCTCATCACTCTTTATCATAGTCAATGCCATATTTAATTGCTCCATTTATGCTGTTTGCTTGTTTCCTTCTCCAATTTTCCCTTTGAGCACTTTCTGCTTATATATGTTTGGCCTTCTAGGAACATAATCCACTTTCGTGTGTATTTATAACCTTTTTCATCTTTTGGATTTATTATGTCTCGTCTTTTATCGTTACAAGCAGCTTTTATACAGACAGGAAAGTCGATGAAAACAAGAAAAAATGATCTTTGTGGCGGCATAATCGGAAGAATCAATTTGCATCCAGATTTTTGTTTTCTGTTCAAGTGAGAGAAGAACTAGCAGAGGAAATATCACAAACAGCATAAGAATGTCACACTTGAGCATTTCCTTGGATTTTTCATCCATTTATGCTGATTCTTTTGTTGTTAATCAAGGTGAGGAAGCGATGATTTTGATGAAATCAACTCTTAAACTTGGTTGTCAATCTTGAAATGTTGCAAAGACCACCAGGAAATAAAATGAGACTATACTGCGTACTAAACATGCAATAAGCGTGTTACAATTTGATATGTTGTGAAGCAGTTACATGCTCTGATACCAAAATATTGTACGAGGTGTATTTTTAACAAATAGCAAATTTATTGTTGTTACTGATGTATTCTATTTGAACTAAAACAAGAAATTAAAGAATTATGTTAGGTTTGTTTCAACTGAGTGAAAAATTTTCAAAGATTCACAAAGAGATCTACTTATCCAAATAAATAATTGATGTTTACTTCATTAAAAATATTGACTACAAAAAGAGAATTAGTACAAATAACCTTTCGTTCTGTTGGGTTTTTTGATACCTAATAATTCGGGCGATGATTTAAAACAATTGTCAGATTATTTATTGACACCATGGACTCGGCTCGACTCGAAGGCGAACTACACTTTTGGAAGGCTCGGGTTTGGGTTGGATGATTATTTGGTTAGTTAGACCATTTAGTGATTAATCTAAACTAACCTATATATATGTATTTATCTCCCAGGCTCTCAGTTGCTTTGGGGGGTGTGCGTGTTGTAGCAAAGGAGAGGAAAGTTGAGAGAAGAGAGGTAGTCGAGAGAGAGGGAAGCCATGTGAGGTTGTGAGCGAGATTCAACCATTGTGATATATTCGTCTTCCTCTCCATACCTTTGTGGATTGCTAACACTACCATCCTTCTCATTTGTGGGGTTAGAGAGAATGAGAGCAGTCCAAAGTGAAGGTGAAAGTCTTGAGTCGAGCCGAGGTAAATCGGTATACGTTTGATTGTTTTCTGAGCCCGAAATCAAGATTTATAAAAGGATTTTCGCTACACGTTCTAGATTTGATCAAGGCAAGGTGAGAATGAGGTAGTTGTAGGGATTGCATTTGTAATCATATGAATATTCAAAATGAGAACGACTAGAGCTTAACTGAAAATAGAAACTATGTAACGAAGATATAACATCTCCCTTTTGTTTTTAAAATCACAAACATACTTTATTTGATTAAATGCCAAACTCGATTAAATAGCTCACTATTATTTTATTTTGTCAAGATTATATATTAAAAACTCGGTCCCGAATCATCCTCAACTTCTTCGAATTAATAGATTTAATTTACTAGTAAATTCGTGTTGTTGATATTTATAAAATTTAAATTATCATTTTCATTATATCCTATTCATTTGCACGTAGTCCTGATGAAATTGTAATGCATAAAACTTATTCATTATATTTATTCATTTGATGGTTTTTGTTTTTGTTTTTACAATGATTCACACCACAATATCAATGTGAATTTTGAACCTTCAATGTACATAACGTTTTCTTGTAAAATTTATAGGTTTAAGTTTTGTCTGTGACGTTGTGGTGTACTAAAGTATTAGATATATGAGTATACAACGGTTTATTTATGTCGATCTTTTAATAAATATGAAAAGTGTGACGAAGCAAAAATCCTTGTGTGAATATAACCACCTCTTCACATTACAAGACCTCAAAATCGCAACAATGCAAATAAACATCCATAAAATCAAAAATATTGGTGCACATGAATTAAGTTGTAGTAATTGTCCTCTTAATTTCTTAGTTGAATCTGGGACTAAAATGAGCAGAATTTTTATATAAATTCTTTAATTTCTAACAAGGACTTCCTACCAGGCAATGAAGTGCACGTGCACCAGCAAATTTGGTAATCTCTGAAACTTGGAGGGCTGAAGAAGCTGGAATTAAGAGTGCGTTTGACCCACATTCTTTCAAAAAAAAAAAAACAAAAAAAAATAAATAAATACATTCTTAAACGGTGATTTGATATCATTCCAACTACACATTATTCAATAAAATAATATTAAACGTAAATCAAATTTTATTTTTTTTAACCACACATTTCTCGTCAATACACTACTCAAAAATGCATTCTTGTTGAAATAATGTACTCAAACAAGGGTTAAATCATTAACTTCAGGGTGTTTCTTGCTCCAATTTCGATACTCCAGATTGTTGAAAATATGCTCCTCTCAAGAATAAATCTCACTCTGATATCCATGTCCATGTCTTCCACACGGCTTCGGGGGCATAATCCCTCTTTGACACCTGCATCGACACAAAAAACCCAGTAATTATCCACGGACTACATTGAATAATAAACGCTACTTCACTTACAGCCTTTGCATAGGGGTTGCAAGGAGGTGCAATGTATCGGTTGCCTTGGCTAATAATGGTAGGTTTCGGCTTCCATCGATGGCATACATATTCCAATAAGAGTAGTCGTTGTTAACGACGTGGATGTACCCATATCGGCACCTTGGCTTTCTTTGTACCAATCTCTTGCCAAAAGGGTTAAAAGCAATTGCAACTTGCATCTTCTCGTCTTGAGAGTACCCATCACTTGCACCAAAAAGCATCACCTAAAACACGATTTTTGGTTAGTATCGAAAAGCTTAAGTTGATGGAGAAGGGTGGGTTATATTGTACAATGGATCACCTCGTTTTGTGGATGCTTGAATTACATCAATAAGGCCATTATGGCAAGCTCTCATGAAGATGTGATCAATCCAAACATTTTGAGAACCGAAGATTGAAATGTCCTCCCCTTCACTAGCAGTTCTGTATCCATAATGGTCGACCGAGTCCCTAATTAGGCCACCATTACCTTTTTGAATGTCATGAATGTGGCGGGCTCCATGAAGGATCACATTCCTCACAAACTGAATCGTGATCCTGACACCATAAGCAATGTGGACTTCAGCACCACGTCCATCGATTGTTTTATCACTATTCATGATAAGTTATTGGTTAAGCTATAGATAACCACGCTTGCTGAAATATGATCCATAATGGCTCCTTTTGAATCACTGCATGACGAAGGGTACTCCTTGGCCACCATATTGTTGTCAGATGAATCAGTGACAACATAGGATCGCCCAGCCTTTCTACCTTTGGCCTTGTAACTGAACCCGAGGCCACAATCCGCCAACCTCTTCCGATTTTTGGCATCATCTAGTACCTGTCAATTGGGTTGGTCACACTGTTACGCCCCTATCCGAACCACCTCGGAATGTCCACCACCACACACTCGATCTGCTGGACACCCACCCGAAGTGGTTCCAAAGTGATCTCCCCAATGTCAACGACTTGCTATCACACTGCGAGACATAGGCGATCCTGCTGAACTGACCGAAGCACCCTCGCCCCTGAGGCCGAGGCGAAGTGCACTCCGGGGACCTCTGTCAGAAGATCCGCCGCCAATTTCAAAAGGAGATCTTTGCCAAGACCCTTTCTGCCCCTAAGGTTTAAATTGATTTGACGTCTCCATGAGACTAGTTAATGTGACTTATAACTTTATGTCAACTCAACTCGGGAGAAGCAATTACCCTCCCACTCTATAGATGCGGCTGATTGACGCCTATGAGCAGACACTTCATACCGTCAGATGTATACACGTGTCCCACATCCAACGGTTCATCTCGCCTATAAATACCCAAGGGTTGGCAAAAGGCAAAAGTAATGAAACTCTTACTACATAACACTCCATAGCAATCATTTATATACTTTCTCCTCCCCCTTATTATTTTGCACAACCCCTAGATACTGTTTCAACCACCTGAACCTGACTTGATCGTTGGAGTGTATACGACCGCCACCACCCCGCTGGTCCCGGTCGTGTGCGTCTGACTGTGCGTTGATTGTGCGCAGGGAGGAATACGTGGAGTAGCTCTCGATTGGCCACGTAGAAGGTCCAATTTTCGAGGCCAATAGATTGGCGCAGTCTGTGGGAAGCACTTCCCGTTCAAAGTTCTGCATTCTCCACCGGAGAAATCACCGAAAAACTAGCGACTAATCCTGAAAAGGACACGTTCTTGAAAAAGAACAAAGTCGAGTTATAATCCAAGTTCTCACCACCCTTGAAAAAGGAGATATGATGAGTTATAGCCATGAAAATGACAACCCCATGAGAGAGGTGATAAGTGCAATTTGTGTACTTATCTATATCACATTATTAAACTTTTACGTCGTCAAATTATTAATTTTTATCTAACTTAGGTTAATTTTCATTTTTGTTTTTAGTGACGAACCCGTTTGAAGCATTTGGAAAATGATGAAGGATTAATTAGCTATTTGATGCAAAGTTTGGAGATTAAATTTTATACTTTGAAAGTTGAGGACTTGGGGGATTAATTCTATATAGAAACAAATTGATTGGTGGGCTGGAGATATATATATACATACATCCCGTTGGCACTAGGGGAGAAAAAGAAAAACCTAAAGGAAAAAAAGAAGCAAAGCGGCAGAGAGAATTGAAGGTGGCTGGCAGCAAGGAAAAGTTAGAGAACAAGGAATTTTGGCCACTTTGGAGTCTAATTATACAAAATAAAAACAAAGGTTCCTACTGCTTGAGTTATATATACACACATACGGCAATTGTAAGGGAGAAGGAAGAGGAAAAAAAAAGTGCCGGCTGCTAGGCGAAGTGGAGTTCTTTTCTGAAATAAAGAGAGCCGACTGCTGGTAATATATATACACACACACAGAATTCTGGAAAGGAAAAAAACACACAAAAAGATAAAAGGCTTGCCGGCAGTTGGAGACAAAAACATTGGGGCTGAATTATATTATACATACACATTGGAATAGCCACATCCACACACAGAAAAGAAAAGAATTTGTGGCTGAATCAGAAAGTCAAAGCAGAGGGGAATTGGAGGCTGTATTTGGGCTGAAAAGACAGAAAGATATACGCAGAAAATGATCGGCTCATAATTGGGATTAATCACGTTTTGTCGATTTCACAGTGATATCTTGTCAATTTTATTTGTCTGCTTCCAACATCATGTTAGGCTAATTTTTCTCATGTATTGGATGACGATGAAACCCGTTATTATTTATTTTTAATCCAAGACATGTGGTTTAGTTAAATTTTGAACCATCCAAATTTTTCATGGTCCAATAATCAGGGACAAGAACAGGGAGGAAGCAATTAGAATAAACCAACAGCAACAACAGCAAGGGAGAAGGCCATCGTTGGAAGATCTGCTGGCTCAATACATTACTAAAACTGAGACCAACTTTCAAAACCAACAAGCCTCGATCAAGAATTTAGAACAAAAGGTTGGACAAATTGCAGCCGCACTATCAG